TATTTTTTTGCATATTTTTACATTTAATAGCTTTTTTTAATTCTTTTGGTTTATGCTACTATTTGTTGAATTTAGTTTAGGAGCTTCCTTTAGGATTTTCACCCCATTCTTTTTAGTATAACTAGATATGGATATTAGGTGCCCCCTGATTTTTATACTATTTTTTAGGATTTATTTTAGGTAGTTTAGTTAGAAACTATTAGGATAGTCAATTAGGGTTGTGAATATAATATAGGTATAACGAAACAAGTTTCTTTTTGGGTTTTCTTTAGGACAAATTAGAAGATGGGACTATAGGGGTATTGAGGGTAAGCATAATAGATCCCTTAGAATAAATAGTAGAATTTTCCCCATTGTATTAATGCTATTAGTATATTTTTGTAGTTGATTGATTGCGTGGTGTGCCCTTTCTAGGGTTATTGTTTGACTGTGTGGGGTATTGGGCATGCTTGGGGTTTGGGTTTGAGCTGAAGACTTTGCTGATGAAGCCATTGAAGACAAAAGGAATGAAGACCCATTTCAAGAGTGGATGAAGAGTGTATCTTACTGGCAGCTGTTGAAGGTTATAGGATCTAGGAGTTAGGGAGAGCTCTAGAATAGGAACTTGATTCACAAACATGGAAGGTCTTGTTTGCCTCCATTCTTTCTCTATGATTCAAAGTATCTTTTAAATACCCACCTCCTTCCTTTGGAAGGATTAGTGAATGTATTTAAAAGATAGAACTTTTGAGAGAAAACTGTCTGTATCATGTTAACAGTCAGTAGGCCACCCTTGGTAGGCAATTGACTGCTTAACATCCAATGCATCCTCTTAACTGTTCCTCATCTTGGAGAGTGAGACTTGAAGAAAAGCCCTGAAAGATTGAAGATAGAGACCTTGCTTGAAGGCTGTGAAGATGAAGATTGATGCTTGCTTGAAGCCTGTAGATGGTTGAAGATGACTTGAAGACAGATGTTGATGAAGATTGTTGTTTGCTATTTATTTTTGCTGTTTATAATTTTTGATGTATTGTTTGAATTTCTCTGACTGTATTGTTTTCCCTTTAACCTGTTAGGTTGAAAGTGAAATTTGTTCACTTTTGCCTGTTGTTTTCTAGGTTCGAGGTTGAGTGGGACTCCCTTGCCTCGCTTGTATTGTTGCATTCATGCATATTTTACTGTTTTATTGTATCTGTTGCTTCTGTTTCCGTTTATCCCCTTAGGATCTCTGTTTCTCTCTGTGTAAGAGAGGAGCATGATAGACATTAGGTCTTAACCCATGCATGATAACATTAGGTTAGTTTGATTCCCTTTTCAACCGTAGGTTAGAGTTCTGTCTCTTCTTTCTCAAAACAAACAGAAAAACACAATAAATATTTCAAACACAATAAAAGACACTTCTTCCGTAAAAGAATGTGAACTCATCAAAACGTCATTTTTGTCCGCTTGGACCTGTAATCAGAAAAACCCTTTTTCAGAAGGAGATAAAAACAATCAAGACAGACTTGTGTCGTACGTGGCCCGAACTACGTTTGCTCTGATCTTTCATGTTGTTTGAAAGTACGTAGGCATAGGATGTGATATCCTAGCGAGCAACCTTCCCCTCCTTTCCCGTAGGTAGGCGAACTACGTTGACTCTGATTTCTCGTTCCAGACGGGAATACGTAGGCATAAAGTGCGATACTTTGCCGAGTCATTTTTCTTTTAACCCCAGACCTGTAGAGTAGATAGAATACCAATCCATACTAGAAGACAAGCGTGGATCCCGTCGAGTACGACAGACGTGAGGGGTGCTAATACCTTCCCCTTGCGTAACCGACTCCCGAATCCAGGATTTGGTTGCGATGACCATTCCTTTCCCCGTTTTGCGTTAGGTTTACTTCGAGCGTTTCCTTTCCCTTCGTTGGGATAAATAACGCACGGTGGCGACTCTTCTGTTCAGCCGGCGCCGATTTTCGCAATAGCGACACACCCCCATAATAATACAATCAAACATGTAGGAACTTTGCCTTAAGAGTGATAAAGGCATACTCGTCAAACAATCCGAGTACTTAAGCCCTTTTCTTAAAACGATGCAAAGACTATTTTCCTACAACCCCCTTTACACTTGTGGTGGTTACATCTCCCTTAACATGAAGACTCATCTCTTCTCCTAAACCCAATCAAAACAACTACCCTAAACCCGTAGGAACTTTGACCACAGTCAAAGAGCTCCTCTAACCCTTTAGGGGAACTACAAGTACTCTGATTCCACTCCCGTAAGGATATGTAGGCATAAGATGCGACATCTTATCGAGTATACTTAGAAATAAACCACTAGGGTCTCTAATCCTTTAAGCAGATAACACTTAGCAATAAACAGCATAAAACAAGAGGTTCCTGTAGAGTACTACAGAAACTTAGGATGCTAGTACCTTTCCTAAGTTTAACCAACCCCCGAACCTAAACTCTCTAAACCTTGCATTTGCATTGCATTGTGGGAATTTCGATCTTTATCCCTTCCTTTGGACAAATCAAAGTTCGGTTGCAAAATGAATTAAAGATTCAAACTAATCAATAGTTTGGTATCCAATTTTCACCGCGACAGATACCTTGATCCCAAAGGTTGACCCCCTCTCATTTAGAGCGTTTTAGACCCATTTCTTTGGTCAGGTCTCTCTATAAGATCCTTGATAAGGTCTTGGTCTTTAGGCTCTATGGTGTTATGGATAAGCTCGTTTGCTCTAACTAGTATACCTTCCTTAAATGTAGACTCTTAGTGAATGGGGTGGTTGTTATAAATGAGCTTGTGGATCTTGTTAAGGTAAGTAAGAAATTTTGGCTCATCTTTAAAGTTGATTTTAAGAATGCTTATGAATATGTTAGCTGGTCTTTTCTTGTTTATATGCTATCCATATTTGGGTTTAGTGATAAGTGAAGGAACTAGATTATGGCTCGTGTGTTCTATGGTAATCTTGAAGTCTTGGTTAATGGTTACCTGGGCTAAGAGATAAGTATCCAAAGGGGGTTAAAACAAGGAAGCCCCCTAGTTTTCTTTCTTTTCCTCTTGATATTCGAGGGTTTGAGCGGTCTTATTTCCATGGTAGTTCATATATACAACGAGGTCCTTCAGATTTGTTGAGGAATTTCTCGACTGCTTCAATGAGGTAACCATAAGGGTCTTTTCTCAAACCAAGATATTTTTTATGAGCATTCCAAAATGGTCTCAAGGCGAGACATTTCAATGAATCTCTCTCCTAAAAGACACATTTTTGCTAGCATAATTGGTCACAAGGATCAAATGCTACGTAAAAGGTGAAGAACGCCAAGAAAAAGGCACAAGATGTTATAGAGTGTGTTTCTAGCACCGAAGGTGTGCTCACCAAATGGAGAGTAACTATAACTTTCCCTTTAAGGACCGAACTACATTCAAACGAGTATGAAAAATGGTGGAGAGCCTCACGTTTCTTGATACTCCCCGCTAGCAGATGTGGCATAAGGTTCTCCACCTGCACAACATTCTTGCGCATCCATCCCTAAAAGCAGACGTTATGGGAACTGGGTCAGGAAGATGGTGTGTGTTCCATAAATTTAAAGGACACCACACAGAGGACTACTATCAACTTAAGAAAGAAATCAAGTGGATGATCCAGGAATGAAACCTCAAGAAATATGTTAATAGCGAGTATATGGGTCTGCTCAAAGCTTCCATTACCAGATATCAGGAGATAGTGAAGAAAATTGTACATCAGTTTGGCTCTAGTTGAAACAAAAATATGTCCACCATAATACTGTTCAAAATACGACAAGGTCCCTCAGATTCGGTTATGGAATTTCTTGACCGCTTCAATGAGGTCTTTTTCTGTTCAAAAATAAGAATAAACACAATAATATTCATTTCACTTCAATAACCATCGTTTTCCTTGCATTTTTCTCTTTCTGGTCTCTTTCTTCCATTTCTTTAATAATTTTCACATGAGCCTCATTATCTTTGGTAGCTGATATTCCCAAACCTTTGACGTTCTTCCACACCCGATTTTGAATATCATTCTCAATTTCGTTCCAAAATTGACTATTACATTGACGAACATCAAAATCAGTACACGATTCACAACAGAGGAGAGAGCCTCTAGAAAGACTCACTGAGCTCCCACTTCTTTCCTTACATTCAGATTTCGACATTGATTGTTGGCTTTGATGTTGAGATTTTGAATAAGTTTATCTTTTTAGTATGCTTTTGTGTGATATGTATTATTTATTTCCCTTTTTCCCTTTTAACGTTAAACACCTTAACTGATGGTCACACAACTTTCACAGACGGCCAGAATTTTGTTACTAGTTGTTATTATCTATTGAGAATTGACGTTTAGAGACAACTTTTGTTTGTCATCGAGATTGTAGTCGCCAGTCATTGTCAAACGAACATTTACCTACAGATAATTAAAGTTTAGTGACAACTTTTGTCTCTCACTACAAGTAAATATTCTTTTTATGCATTTACATTATTACTTAATGAAAGAACATGCTAGTTTGTAATGTTTATTGGAAAATGGGATAGACACTCACAGTGTAAAATGATTTTATATTGTCAACCAACTACTATAATGTAATATGTTACATTAGATTATAATTTTTTAATTAATAGTATGATTTAGTTGAATGATGAATTTCTATCGGATGACAATGTAAAATTATTTTTCATTGTCAATGCATTCAAACTCAATGTTTATAGCTTAAACACCTATGTTTTAACAAGTGAATAACAATTTCCTTGATATTTCCATGATTTTTAAATCTAATATAAACATATTACTTCAAACAAATCAACTTTTTTTGGGATTATCCAATAAAAGTTACAACATATTGGACATTAATATTGTCATAATTAATAACAAACTAATATTACTAACTAATTTTACACGAAATACATGGAGAATACTCAATATATAGTATATGATATTTTTCGCAGAGTATTTTTCCTTATATAGCACACCATAAAACAAATCATAACATAGAGAGGCTAATAAATTTGCAAATATGTTCTAGATGACACAAGGATGGCCATTAGACGTGGTTACAACTTCGTTTGGTATCCATGCAATAGCCTTATTTCCAATAAAATGACAGACAGGAACAGTTCCTGGTTTGACCTTAAGAATTTCATAAACGATACTTGGATCCATACCTCTTGTATCATGATGGCAAATAGTTAATGCATTAGATTTAGTTCCATCAGAAGCCACTAATGGGACCATATAAGTTGATGTCGCATTGACTTGGTGGCAATAGAATGCCACTTTTTTAAAATTCATTCTATGGCACATGACTGTTTTTTCGCCTAATTTCTTCACTTCCTCAACCACATATTCGTCTTGAATTTGAGAAAAGGAACTTGACATCGCTTTAATATTTTTTCCGAGTTTTGAAATGACAAAATTCATCATTGATTTTAAGGATGGTGCACAATATTTATCTTCCCCTATTGGTGAAGGTTTCCCACAATAGTCGCGAAAAATGCCCATCTCTTCTTCAGTCCATGAGGCTACGGTAGAAGTTTGACCTAATCTTTCAGTTTTTTTAACAGTTACTCTATCAATTTCTGTACGACTCCCACTATCTTTATTTGGTTTACCTGTCCATACAAGAATTCCAAAAGTTTCAATTGGTTTCTTAATTTCCTCTTTAATTGCTTTATTAGTTGGCCTGTGAGTTTCAAAACCTTGACTTGCTTTTTCACTTGATTTTCTATCCCACCATGAGTTGATTCCAAAAGGTTGATTCGTAGTTTCGACAGACACATGTGTCTTTGAATGTTTATGGATGCCCAAACTAATCTTTTTTCCAGGATGTAAGTCATGTTCAAAAAAGACAGTCCAATATTGATTCTCTTCATAGTCTCTAATAGGAACACTGGTTTTGCTATCTACAGCATCAAAAATCAATCCAAATTCTAAAATCATAATAGTTTTATATATTGCAACATACCAATTCATATGAAATCGCATATATCATTCAAAAAGATTAAAATAACCATGATCAAACACAATAATTCATATTTACTAACCAGGCAGCAGAAGATCTAAAAGAGGTCTAGGTATAGGAGTATTCGGCCAAATAGATTTCCAATATTCTTCGTCTGATTTAGATGCATTGATTCCTACAAAAACCAACTACAAAATATACATTTTAGTAATGTTTGTGTAATATAGATATTATAAATAATAATAAATTTGTAGTATTTTGTAATATGTCCATATTAGATGTCACCCAGTAACATATTTTGTCTAATAAATCTATGGACCTTTTAAAAATGGTCCAGTTGTATCAACAGCATTACTAAACACCAGATGTCAAAAGATAGAAATCAAATGATTAAATTAACGATGTTAATAATAAATATACTTAAACAAGGTATGAAATAAATTTAAGTGAATTTTTTCTCATCTCTACTAAAGTCTATTAAAATAAAACTGAAATTCTTTTTAATTTTAAAATATGCATTACATCGTTTGATATTTATAAAAATAGCATTGATACTCCTCTAATTTATATTGACGGCTAAAAACCGTAGATAAAGATGAAATTTACATATGAGTTTTATTTCTAAAAATTCTCAATGGGCATGCATGCCATATTTTAAAATATTTTAAAGGAGATAAGTGTTATTTTTCTATAAATTTATTATATTATTTATAATTTCAAGAAACTAATATCGGCAGATATGTTATTTTTTCTATTATTTATTGTTTGAATAATTCTAAATTATAAAGGTTTCTTTTATGGAAAACTAAGGCTAGTTGCGACCAAAAATGTTTTAAAAAAAGAAAAGAAAAAGAAGAATATGAAGGTGAAATAAAAACATACATACAACATGGTTTGAAAGTTGGAAACGAAAGTTTCAAACTTTATTTATATTTTTATCCTATATATTAGAGAATATATATTACTCATTTTCGATTTGTCCTGTCTTTTATTGACATATTATTACACTTTAATAATTTATAACTCCCTTCAAGTCATTAACAAACCCATACACTAGTACTCCTTTCTATTGAATGTTTTGTTTGCTCATAAAAAAGAAAACATACATTTATCAAAAAAATATTATGTAATTTTTAAACATACACTAATAAATCAAGTATTTCATGATCATAAAGAGACTTTAATAATTACAAAACATGGAAAGGAAATAATTCATAAGAAAGACAGAGTTTTTGAAAATCACATGAAATATTGTATCCAAAGTTGAAACACTTAATAATCATAATGATCAAGAAAACAGAAAATAACTTACACACAATAGAGCTAAAAGAGAGAGATGTGTAAACCCCATTAAAACTGTCGAGTGGTAGAAAGTAGAATCCCAGGAAGTGTTTAACTATGAACTAAGACACCATATATATATATATATATATATATATATATATATATATATATATATATATATATATATATATATATATATATATATATATATATATATATATATATATATATATATATATATATATATATATATATATATATATATATATATATATATATATATATATATATATATATATATATATATATATATATATATATATATATATATATATATATATATATATATATATATATATATATATATATATAATGTTTGCATGGATCCGCGCACATATATATATATATATATATATATATATATATATATATATATATATATATATATATATATATATATATATATATATATATATATATATATATATATATATATATATATGTGCGCGGATCCATGCAAACATTATATATATATATATATATATATATATATATATATATATATATATATATATATATATATATATATATATATATATATATATATATATATACACAAAATTTATAAATCTATATTATACAATTAATTTAAAATTTACAAATTGATTAAACAAAATATATAATAGTGATTGATGTAAGATTATCTTATTTTATGGTAAAATGATGTAGAAATATTTAGTAAATTCACAGTAAAGTAAAATGATGAAGGTATATTTAGTGTATTTTGGTTAAAAGTTTAATTCTTATACTTTTAACATTTACTCTTTAAAGTAAAATAATTGATCTTTTAAGAATTAAATAGAAAAGAATAAGTAAAGATAAGATCAGAGAAAGAGAGTACACTCTTTAATATTTTTTTATTAAGGAGAGAGTAGATATTATTAATTTATTTTTTTTAGTACACAAGAGATTATATATTATTGTTTTATATAGATCCACTTGATCTTGCTAATTACTAAGAATATTGTAACATGGACGAGATCTGATATGGTGGCATTTTTGTCAAAGCTTATACTTAGCCACCCTTAATAATTTTATTGAGTAGCCGCCACGAGGGATATTAAAAGTATCCGAGGAACTCCAACCCAAAATATACATTTTAAAAATAAAAAATATACATGTATTTCATGAAAAAAAATTATGAGTATTAAAGAGGGTTGTTTTACATTTTTATAGTCCTTATTTGTTACGCATGATGTGATATATATATATTAGTCTAGGATACTACTTGTCTCACAGTCGGACAGCTCATTGTTTAGTACGCGGAGATCTCACGCGTCTTCTCCACGTTCTCTCTATACCCCCTAAGCGGAGACACGTCATCAACAACTACTCACATCTGAAAGAACAGGTCACCCAACTCCGTTTGATCATGGCCAGCTCATGCAATGACAAAGTTCTGGAAACCGCCTTCGCTCCGTTCACCAACGGTGACGGTCACGACCCCAACGTGATCATTCACGTCGAAGAGGGCGACTCAAGGGACGGGCACACCGCCTCTCCCTCCTCGGAAGACACGGCCTTCAACGCCGCCCGACGCTTTGATAGCCCGTCTGTCTACCAGCCAATCTCGGTGCCGCCCAGCGCCGACCCGACCATGGTGGCTCAATTTGCGGCGATCAACCAGATAAATCTGATGATTTTCCAATAGAATGAGCGAATATGAATACTCGAGAAGGAGCGACAATCACGCTCTCCCCCGCGGAGACATCGTCGCCCCGTTTCTAGCAGTCCCTCTCCTCTCCCGCGGAGGACTCGACACGATGACTCTCGGAGCCCTTCTCCCCGACAGACTGGACATCCTCCTCGCTTGGAGCGGCCTCAGCCGATGGGCAACCAGAAGTGCTACTGATCCCCTCCCGGAAAGAGCGACACTCCCCCACTAATAAGAGAAATAAGGATGACGAATGCGTCGAGAAGCCAAAGAGCCGGCCGAGGAGCCCTCCCCGACGAAACATAAATAATCGGGGTGATCTTTCCCCTTCTCGATCACCTGTCAAGAGCGACGAGGACGACTAGCGCTCACTGCTGTCTAGGGCCATTAGGGAGACTTCCTTTCCCGTCAGGATGGAAAAACCCCGCCCTTGGCGACTTATGATGGTACGACCGACCCGGAAGACTATATCGAAAGCATCGATACAATGCTAGACTATCGGAACGTCTGAGGAGCCATCAAGTGCAGGCTTTTTCCCGCTACCCTAAGGATGGGTGTTATGGCGTGGTAAAAGCGTCTCGCGCCCGAATCCATTACCTCTTGGGAGGAACTGAAGAGGCAGTTCTCTAGGAACTTCACAGCTCCCCAGCGCCACCCGAATATAGAAACATCCCTAGAAGCCATCATCCAAGGAAAAGATGAACCTCTATTGGATTACATATAGAGGTTCAACCGAGAAGTTGTCCAGGTATCCACCTCGGATGACATGAAGAGATTTTTGATCGAGCAAGGATTGCGACTGTCGCAATTGCGAAAAAGGGCCGGCAAACAGACAGAAGAGTCGCCACCGAACGTTATTTATCCCAAAGAGAGGGAAAGGAAACAATCTAAAAAAACCTAAGAGACCGGGAAAAGACAAGGTCATCACAACCAAATATTGGGTTCGGGAGTCGGTTGTGCAAGGGGGAGGTATGAGCATCCCCCCACGTCCGTTGTACTCAACGGGATCCACGCTTGTTGTCTAATCTATGGGTGAAAACTATCTAGAGCTATTGCTAAATGGGGAGATGGAAAGAACAGACTCGATAGGACATCGCCGCCCTATGCCTACGTATTCCCTCGTGTAATGGAAAAGTCAGAGTCAACATAGTTCAGGAAACTACGGGTGATGGGGGGAACTTTGCTCGCCAAGACATCGCCGTCTTGTGCCTACGTATCCTCATCTGGTATGAGAAATCAGAGCAAACGTAGTTCGGGCAACCTAGACCACTGGTTGGTTAAAGTGTTTTTTATGAGTAATGTTACGTTTCAATTCCAGTAGTTAGGGACGATGCTTGCTTGCGGTAGAACGGAAATGTAACATACTCTTTTTGAAAATTAGGTTTGAAGCAATCCCGAAGATGAAAAGGTTTGAATTTTGTTTGTGTTTTTTAGAAGAAGTGAATTGAGTTAGTTTATAACTCATGTTGCACTAAAGACTATGACATAAGAGCGAATGCGTCGCATATCGCCCAAAGGGCATACTCTAAACACTCTAAACAATGTGAGAAGAGACCCCCTACTTATCATTCCTGATGTACTTAAGGCTCATAGCGTACAACACTCGTCATTCTTTATTAAGTGTCTTAAATAGATTCTGAGATGAGAAGAGAAGACACAAGACTCTAAGGGAAACTGTAAACCCTAATGTAGTCATGCAAAGTGGTTCTAAAGTTGGGATAGAAATGGGAACTACCTAATGTTATCATGCAAAGGATTGAAAGCCTAATGTCTCTCCTACTCTCATCTTAAACAGAGGGACTAGGAATCCTAAGGGATCATGGCAAGAAGCACAAGTAAACATACTGCATAATCAATCACAAATGAATATGAAATGAAAGACTTAAACAAGTTAATGCAAGATGAAAAGAAATATGCAAAAAGCCAACAAAATATGCAATCATGAAGCCTTCACAATTGGCACACAAGTGTTGTACCCCAAACTTTGATCAACCGTTTCTTGTACTTGGCTTATGTTTTCTTTGCATTTTTTCATTTTTTCATAACATAGCATTTTCTCTTAGGACAGGGGATCAAAGGTTTTTATGTGGCTCAGGTCTTTTTTTTAGTGCAAGAGACTGAACAGCGAGCATCAGGAGCTTTGGCATTTATTTTGCCCGGCGATCGAGCGGCCGATTTTATTTTTATTTTGCAGGATAATTTGTAGCTCAGGAGGCAACGTTCAAGCTATCTTGGGCATTTTCACAGTTTTGATATTCGAAAGCAAGTTTCAAAGGCTTAACAGAGCTCAGAACGGAAGAAAACGAACCAATGTGCAGATTTCCCTCCAAAAGGCGCCAAAATTCAAAATTTTAAGGCGTTAACCGATTAACCCATATGGTTAACCGGTTAACCATAGCAAAATCAGACCAAATTTGAATTTTCAAGGGTGTTCATCAATTAACCAAAATGGTTAACCGATTAACCAAGGAAAATATTTCCTCTGCACGTGAGTTTTTCAAGTATGCCACTTTGGGGTCCATTTTGATCACTTGTGAAGTTGATTTTACACCAAAAGAAGGATCTAGAACCACTTTGAATTTTGATTATTTTCAAATTAATTCAAATTCCCTCCAATTTCCCACTCCTAATCCCATTCCATTTTTCATAACCACACTCCAAACCACCATTCTACTCCTAACCTAGAGCATATTTAAATGATTTTCTCCAAACCTCACACAACAAATCCTCATAATTCCATTTCATTTTCAAAATTCAATCTCACTCTTTGAATTTTGCTCTCTTTTCTTCTCACTCCCAAAACCTCCATTAAACCTCTTTTCACTTGAGCTCTTTGATTCTCCATTGGAATCGTTGAACTCTAGAGCTAAACCTTTATCCTTCATCCATATTATCTCCAATTCTCCATTCAATTTTCATGCTAGTGTGGATCTGAACTTGGAAGTGGATCTAGAAGAGCTTATTTGGATCAGTTTAGCTTAACTTTGTTGGATCTTCATTTCTACTACAAGAAATCACTTGGATCTTGAAGAACCTCTGGATTTCTTGATTGGATCTGTTTATTTGAAGTTAAATCAACATTTACCAAAGCAAATCTCCGCTTTATAGGTTGGAAATTCTAGATCCGATGCTATTTTGAGCTTATTTTGCATAATTGATGTGGATCCTTAATGTTTTGTGGATTTTGATTCATGTGATTTGTGATCTTGTTGTTTGAATGTGTTTACATGTTGATTGGATCACTGATTTCTGGTTTAAAATTCGTGCATAATTGATTACATGATCATTTGGATGATTGCACATTGAATTAATTGCTATAAGTGCTTTTGAGCTGTTGTTTTTCTGCTTCTGGT